AAAAAAAAAAAAAAAAAAAAAAAAAAAAAAAAAAAAAAAAAAAAAAAAAGAGAACAGGTGGGAGGGGGGCTGGGGATTTAGCTCATTGTGAAAGTCCTAGGTTCAATCACCAGTACTGAAAACTAAAAAAAAATTGCACTGAAAATAAAAACGTACTTTTGAGTAAGAAAAGTTTATCAATTCCTCATGGAAGGTCTGAGTCTCAAAGAATTTTTAGTAGAAAAACTTAGAGTTTTGTCCTGAATATGGCTTGTATTTGGAGAACTAAAAATAAGTCCTCCTGTGGAGTGAGAGAGAACTATGTTATTGGTTTTTTCCTTTTGAAGTGTTTCTTCCCATTTAAAATAATCACAGTGTTCTCTCTTTTCTTGGTATTTCCCAATAGGGCAACAATAGAAGACTTTCCCATGGTTTGGTCCATTATTAGAAACAACAAGTCTCTTAGATCTTCGGCCACACTTGCATAAGGGAGGTGTCATTTTTCCACTCTTCCAAGGCTCCTGTAGATTAACTGTAGATGTTAATATAGAGGGGAGAATCTTCTGGGTAGAACTTCTTACTGGACTGCAATCAAGTGATACAGGCTTTTCTTCATGAATAATGAAGTTCTGTTTTTTGGCTGGTGGAAAAGTTGGAAGATTAGATGAATTCCTTTTAGTACCACCTAAAAGAGGATGTTTTCCCAAAACGGAATGATGAGATGCACTGGCATTAATACTGTTGAAGGTACATGATCTGCATTCAGGTAATTTAAAGGTAGAAGCATTTGAACCTGGACGTTTGGCTTCTTTTACATTATAAACAGTAGTGTTAGGACTCCTGTACACGAAAGACTTAGGGGTCTCAACTTTTTGAGGCGTTTCCTTGATGCCCTCAAGGTTTTCAGGACTTAGTGTTTTTGATTCTTTTAAAACCATTAATCTTTCTCCAGAAGTAAATGAAGTGTCTAAGTTTGTGTCACTTATAGGAGGTATACAATCTGTATTTTGTTCAGATTGAGATGCTGGCAGTAAAACTACATCTTCCCAATCAGCCAACATAGGTAAGCAGTCAACCATAGAACTCATTTCCATTCCAGAAACATGATTAACAGATGGGATGGTGGTAGAAACAAGAACCAATTCTGAATCACATGTTGAAGACTTAGATTTGGTATTAAATGCAAGATGTTCACTTTTTCTTTGCTTCTGCATATAGATGGGTGAACTCAGGTTGAGAGACTGAAACTGCCCCCGAGAAATACATGGCTTATTGAAAACAGATGAGCAACTTTTCATGCTGTGAATGCTGACTTTTTTATTGCTCTCTGGTAGTAACTGATGCTGCTGTACCTTTATGGGGGAATTCATACAAACAGAATTCATTTGAACTTTTTCCTGAGCATTTACTGAATTTTTAGACTCCTTATCATATATTCTGGGATTCTGGATGCTAAAGTTGCAGGCAGATGTTTCTCCAACTTGATTTATATTCAAATTTCTGGCCAAAATGTTGGGATTCTTTTTGGGAACCTATGAGTTCACAGAAAATCCAACATCTTTAGAAACTATGCATTTATAATTTCTTCAGTAGACATGACAAAAAAATGTCATTGGTTTGTAAGTGGTCACATATATGAAATTCACATTTCAATGAACCTATGAATACTTGAGTTTGAGATGAAATAATAAAAAGGCAAGACACTACTAACCTGGTTCAAAGACCTTGTAATTTTCATTAGGCAACCATCCCTGATCATTTTCCAAGCAAGAAGAGCTGTATTCCGAGAATCATCCAACCCTGGGGAAACAGATGTCAAATGCTGAATTAAGTGGTACTAGTGCAAAGAAGTAATAGAAAAAAAAATTACCACTTAAGTGAAACTGAGACATACTGAGTTTAATGATTATCTACTATCTATAGCTATCTATATCTATATCTATGTCTATATCTGTATCTATATATATA